GTGCTGACATATGTGAGGCTTCTCCCCCGTATGAAGCTTCATGTGGAGCCTCAGGGAATTGCGGTTGGCCAGCAGCTTGGAGCAGATTGTACACTGCACCTGGGAGAGAAGAACAGAAATAAGTTGAAGTACAACTTTTTGATTACTTCAAAAACCAGTTTGTGGGCAAAATAAAAAAAAATAAAAATCTAGACTGGGAGGCAAATTTCAAATTGTATCAAGAAAGTTTGAAACAGTTGCGGGGATAAAACAAACACTGAAAACAATATTTCACTGTGGTCATGAGTGGAAATATTTACCTGCTCGGCTCCTTTTATATTCAAAATGTTTCATTTTGAGGAGATCAGCAGAGATGAAAGCAGAAGATGCATCATTACCTTTGGGGCCTGAGTGTGGACCACGCTGCTGCAGTGAAGGAGGCGGTGGATGCGCAGGGAGGGGCGCCGAGCGAAGGACTTGCTACAGTGCTCACAGGTGTAAGGTTTTTCTCCAGTGTGAAGGACCAGGTGCTCCTTCAGGTCCCGCTTCAGGCCGTAGGTCTTCTCACAGTGAGGACAGGAAAATGGGCGCTCACCGCGATGACTCATCTGGAAAAGAATCCAATTTTATTTTGAATAATCTGTGAGACTCTTTATTTTTCAATACAAGGATATGAACATTTCTGCATGATGTGATACTACTGCTTTTACAGTCAGTCAAACAAAAGCTTCTAGTATAGTAAAACTTAGTTTTTGATCTAAAGAGTTTTACTTTACTTTTGAAAATCTTACTAAAAAACACCAAAATAAAAGAAGGGAAAGCATTATTTTTTATAGTTTCTTCAGTTTATCTTCCAGTCAGGTGTTGAGAAGCTTTTCTCAAACATCTGACATTTTTAAAAAGTATAAAAAGGAAACAAATAATTATTACAGCAAACAGAAGCTAAAAATCATCTCAAAATGACAATAAAAAACACTATCAAGAAGTTTGTAAATGATTAAAATGTATAAAAAGATGGCGTAATATGATTAACTTGGGATTTAAGTTAAATATCTCTTTCTTATCAATATTACACTGTTTATATAGTTGTGYGTCTATAGTGTTTATATATTTAAACTTGAAAACAAGACAGATTGTTTTTAAATTGCTTAATAAAACTGTGAATAGTTCTCCTTCACAATAACTCCAAGCACTGGCTCTACCTGATGGGCTCTGAAGCTTTCTGCAGAGGTGTAGTTTTTCCCACAGTCCTGGCAGGTGAAGGGTTTCTCATCTGTGTGACTGAACTGGTGTTTCTTCAAGTGGCTGATCTGGTAGAACTTTTTATCACAGCTGGAACAGCCGTACCGCCTCTCTCTGACCTCTGGTTGCCAGCCAGGGTCCCTCTCTGCAGTACAACCCAACTCATCAGTGCGTGACGTGCTCGAGGACTCTGTAGAATCTTTGATCGGTCCATCAGGCTGTTTGGATGGTTCGCACTGAGCAGAAGAGTGTCTCTGTCGACTGGGCGGACCATGAACCTGTCGTGGTTTAGCAGCTAGACGGGAGCTGAAGCGTACATGAGGAAGAGCAGGGAGRCCAGGAGAATCTGAGTTTGCAGAGTGTGACTGTGCGTGTATTAGACCGTCCAGTTGGCTTTCATTATCAGGACTCGGTTCAAACAGGATGCTTTTGACTCTCCTCCTCCTCCTCTGTGCAGGCGAACAACTTCTCTTGATGTCACTGTGAGTCTTTAGTTGTTCCTCCTCCTCCTCTTGAGTGTTCTCCTTATTTTCTTGATCTTGAACATTTATTATGTTGGTTACTACAAYTTCTGGCTCTCTTAGCTTCTCCAGATTGTCTTCTGTCCAGAAACAACAAATAGTCATAATATTAATCAGTCTGTTCTTATCAAGCAGAAACAAAATATCATCATAAATGTAGAATTAAAAAAAAAAAAAAGGTACTGCAATTTTTTTTCTTAGTTTAAATTTTTGCAAACCCAATGTTTTAACGTTTAGAACTCATAACTCATGAGCTCAAATAATTATTGTTTTAAATTCCAATAAGTCAAGTGATGGGGCACACCCTCTATGAACAATAGAGTTAATCAAGCCTATTGTTAAGCGATGGCCCTCTTTTGCATATGACTGACCTCTTTGTCCACCATGTGGAGGCAGTGCTTATAAGGCTGAGTTCACCTGAAACTCATCAGACTGAAGAAGTCTCTTGGATGAGAGATGAAATGTTTCACTAAAGAAGAACCCATCCAGAGGACCTACTTATTTTTTCTTTTTGGTGTTAATTTATGGCTTATTAAGTATGAATTATCCATAACTAATGATGTTTTTAAGGTTAGCTTATTGATGAATGAATAAGTCAGGCTAAATACCTTGTAGTTATTATAAACTGTTTCATGTTTAAAATAAATTTCATTGCATTTCTCTGTTCTTTCATCTTTTAATCATCTCATGTTYTTACCAACATAACATTTTACTCATAAACTGAGTAAACAACAATGTAACTGCCCTTACAGGGATCAAACRTCTATCTTATTATCTTTAATTTAGTGTGTATAATTGTCTTTGAGATGCATTTAAGATTTATAGGCCTAATCAGTTTGAATCAAGACATTAAAAGAGCAGGAATTTAATAAAATATTCACAGTCTGTTGCCGCTGGGTGTTTCCAGCATGAAGCTCCTCCTTAGTGTTTCATCAATCACAGCAYATAAAAGCTTCACGAAGCAGAAACAATAAAGATTTAAAACAGCTTCATAACAAATGTGCTGTAATGAATTTGTTGTTTTACTTGACCTTTCATTTATTTAATGAAAAAATTATGCTTCCTCCTCCTCTGATCACTCATCTTCAGCTTTTATCATCCATTCTGAGTTTAGTTTTGCTGACTGGAAAGGGTTTTTTTCCCCTCAACAGAGCTCTCAGCTGAAACTGACTTTAAATAATGTCGACACAGACATTTTTTATCGTTAGGCAGATCAATGAAGTCATTCATCTGCTCAGAACATTGTGTTAAATAACTCCTATAACAGAGTCCAATTATAAAACTTGAAAAAATGTAATTGTCTGGGGGTTCATCCAAAAACRTTGAAAAGACACGAAAACTTCTTTTCACTTGTGATGATTCGTAAAACGTTGTAGCTCCTCTACAGGGACAGCAACAAACCATTTAACCAGACTCAGACAGCCCACATTTATCAGTCTTTGTTAAATATTGATGCCAATATTTAAAGGCTCTAGATTAATTAACTACAAAACTATGGAGAAAAACATACATTAGAATCTCAAACGAAGCTATTGCAACTTTTTTAAATAATGAAAAATATAATTAAACTTTGCATTTCTTTATTTTGCAATGTAAGTGTAAATCACAGGCAGTTTCTTTTTTTTCTCTCAACAGCATTAAGCACCCTTCACAGTTAAATACAGCCCCTTTACATCCTTCATGACCAAACAGAACGTCCAGATGGCAGACAAATGTGGAACCACCCAGGGACCACCCACCTGTGGGTTTCTTAAGTCAAACAAATAGCTGGACTACTTTTGGATTTATACTTTCTGTGATTTTTTATTTTTATTGTTATGGTTTATGGTGATGCTCGTTACTCATAAGTGAGTAAGCATGAGGCAGGCAGTAATGTCATCATGCAGCATCTCAAAACTTATTTAAAGCTTGTAGCATTTAAAAATAYTGTATAAGATAAGCTAAATTATGTCACTGGAGTTCTCCTGCAGGTTTTAAATTATTTTCTGCYTTTTTCCCCACTTCCTGTTACTCAGACATGATACATAAAACGATAACAAAGCAATTATACTTCTCGCAAATTTACACAAAACTGTGTAATAACGTCAGCTCTTACCTGTGCACCTGATGGTGTCGCCTGGTTTATCAGTTGCCTGACCTTTTCCCACAGTGTCATTGTACAACAGCAGCTCTGTTCCCGGCTGGATGTCCCGACACACACGCAGACACACATCCACGCATTCAGCCGCACACACCTCACCACACACACACAGCACGGACACGTTCTGCTGGGCGGAGGACCGTGCCTGACAGGCAAATCTAAGAAAAACAAAAACAAATGACAAATAGTTTAAAACTACATGATCAGCAGGAAACTCRGATTGCATTAAAGCATCTGTGGAATGAAGCTCAGTCGGAGGTAGCTGTGAACGTGATCCTAGCAGTCCATCCAGAGTGTTGCAGGCTGGATGACAATCAGGAAAAACAACCGTTTGTCTGGTGACTGTGTGCGACTACATTTCTTTGTGACCCATCACAGGAAACTAACATTGCGGTGGAATTTTTTTCCCAGCTTCACTCTGCAGGAGAGAAAACTAGGGCAGGTTATAATCAGGACGCCTCAGACTGCACAGACTGAAGCGRGACAACGTTGTCACAGGCACAGCCATCAACAGAGGAAAAAAAGAGCAGATAAATTATAGAAATACCAAAAAAAGACAAGATTTCACATTCAAATATCCATATAAATAAACGTTTCAGCTTAACAGAAGCAGGAACAAAACACCATAACTGAAACAATGAAAAATCATTTCATCACATTTCGGATAAAAATAAACAAATAAATAAATAACTGTAGTTAATTTTTTAACATGAGTTTTTTTTTGCTCAAAATTGCAAATCTAACATTTGTAGGATAAAATATTATTTCAAGAATAGTTGCACTGTATTAACAGTAAAAATAGTTACATAATGATGGGACATTATTTTTCGGTATTTAGTATATTGATGTATAACTGAATTCATTGATCAGGTTATATTTGACAGCAACAGTTTCAAATTTTTTTTATATATTTGTGGTAATATTTATTTCTTCTGACAAATAAWTAACACGAGCATTTGTATAAATGAAGCAAGCCATTGACTTCCCAAAGCCTTTTTACAATGAGTATTAAAAGAATTCTCTCCCTAAGATGTTTTGTGTTTTTATTGTTGTCATGGTCACTACAAACTGTCCTTTTTGACAAAAACTAGATAACCTTCTTCAATGTAAACATGAAATCTAATGTCGACAAAGGGAGGAGCTTTGTGCAATAAATAGGTGGAGCTTTGTACCAACAATTGTTCAGGCAGCTCCACATGACCACCGCAGGAGAGTCAAGGATTTCTCAAACATGCATGAATGAGTCAAAGTAACACTCTGGTATGTTTTTGAGGAGAGAATGACAGAACATGATATAAAAAAAGTCACGTTTTCTTTAACAGAGACTTTCTTTTTGCCACTCTTCCATAAAGCTTAAGACTTGTGAAAAACTCGAGCAGTGGTTATTGTGAGCACAGTCTCTCTCACCTGACCTGCTGGAAGTTTGGAACTCCTTCAGTGTTTTCACAAATGCCTTAGTGTTCTCTCTCACTGTTCTCCTTGTAGGACCACTCAGTGAGAAGGGCCTGCTCGTGGTAGATTTACACGTGTCCCATATTCCTTCCAGTTTTCTAGGATGGATTTAATAAAACTCGTGGGGATGTTTAAGACCTTGGGAACTCTCTTGTATCATTCACCTGAACTGTACCTTTCATTAATCTTTTCTCTCGGTCTCATTCTCTTCAGTTGGGAAATAAAGAAATTGTAAGACCTAAAAATGAAACTCAAATAAGAATAACAGCTCTACATTGAACAGAATCAAAGAGAAGCCATAATCCCAGAGTAAGAATGGTCTCRTGGGGTTAAGGAGGATGACATGGTTACATTTTGTTACATTTTGTTGAAAGTCTCTGTGCATACATTATATAAACAAATCTCCAACCTCCTCACGGTGATCTGAGGAGGTGTTTGTCTAAACAGGAACAAACRAGGCAGACTTTTTAAGGCAATTGTTTACAGACATGAATAAATTTGTCGGTACCCTTACAGCTCACTAAAACAATGCTTCTTTTTCAATGAAAAAATATTATTTATCTGCATGCCTTTAGCTTGTGATGAAGTAAAAGAGTAAAATATAAAGATGTAAGAGTTCAGTCTTACATTCTTATAACAGGTTATAAGGATATGTTATTTAGCAAGGGTTCTCTTTTATTCTAGGTAAACATCCTTCCAGTGCAAAAAYGAATGGACACAACAAGTGACTCTCAGTCAGCGAATGTTGATTTGATCCATAAATAGATGCGATCGTTTATTTTACATATCACACAAAATCGCTAAAGTACACTTAATTGTGGGCAATCAGTTTCCTATAAAAGTTTTAGGGACCAACAATAACAAGCACTTCAGCTTCTTAATTAACCACAGGCACTTTTAAATAGAATACAAACGTCAAGTTTAAACCTCCCAATAGCAGCTCTGTAAGGTCTTGTTAATAGAAACATTTTTTTATTTTCTGTGGTGCTATTTTTGCTTCATTAAAATATGTAGATATTTATTCACATTGTTTTTGTTTTTTTTAGAAAAGGATTGTGTAAACTCACTTGATAAAGGTAGCTTTTTGTACAGGAGCCTGATTTGTTGACATCCCCATCAATCCCTAAAAACACAGAACAAACAAATGTCAACATAAAATATTTTGTTGCAAACTTTGATCCTGATGGCCAAAGACTTTCTACACTGAAATAACTATTCAAAACAGAATAAAATGATTTTATTATTGCTAATTTTCTGTCGATGGTAAAGTCAGACACAAAGRTTGTGCTTTAACTCTGAAAAATACGACTGCTGCATGTTTTCTCCTGTGAAGCTCCTCGCTGGTTCTCATCATGTTGTTATTCTTTTAGAACATATAATAAAATATACGAGAACTAATTCATTATGTTAACATACAGTAGATCAGACACAGTTAGTGTCCATCTGTCTGCAAATGACACAATGCATCAGACTGAGAGGTTTTAGTTGTTTGAAGTCGACACAATAAAACGAGGTCATTAAATCAGACAGGATAGAYTCACTAAACTATTTAACAGACTGTACTTCTTTAAATCAGTACCTTTGCAACACCTTTGTCTGCTAGCAGAATATGTTGTGAACTACTTAATAGATTTTAATAAAAACCCCAGAAAGTAATCAATGAATAAACATCTACAACCTATTAACATTTAGAATCAGCCCAGTTTAAGGTGTGTGCCACAGCAACTGAGCTAATAAAACACAAAAATGGCTAAAACTCAGATAATCTAATCTGAGATCAAATTGGATGTTGTACAAATTCAAGATTTTTGTTAATTCATTTTTTGTTTCAATGTTTGAAATATAAATATAACAATGCATTTATGAAGTGTAACAATTTTTTAAAATTATATTAAAAAGAGAGATGTTTTAAACTTTAAACTAAATCAAATGTGCTCAAAGCGACAAAGTGAAGGAATGTAATTATTGTCGTTTGTAAGAAAGTTTACAAGAAATCTTCTGGGTATTTAAAGGTCAGATTAACATTTAACAAATCCACATTTGAAAATAATAATAAAGTCAAACAGCAGCTGTTGTTTTCTTTCATAAAATAAACACTCAATCTTTCAGTCATTTCACATTTTCCTCCTTTGAGCTGCTGAAGTGAACTGTTCTAGTTTGGACATTTGTTGTCACTTTGTCTGCTGGTTACCGGGTCAAAATGATTCTTGGAGTTCCCCTCCAAGTCACCCTCTCTTCCCAGCAGGGTCCCAGCCTTCAGCGGGCGGCCGACCCACCACAGCCCTAAACAGCCCTCACAGAACAGCGAAGGCCCCAAAGCAAAGCCACAGGGAAGTACCGAGCAGAGAAAGGAGRTGAGATCAGCTGGAGCAGCTGGGAGGTGGGCCATTAACCTGTTAGAAACAAAAATATAAACATAGTTCACACTTAACACACACACAAACACACACTTTTCATGACTAATCCACTTGGCAAACGTTGCAAGGAACTTGAGTTTTAATTTTCACTTTGGTGATTTTCTTATTTTAATCATGTTGACTGCTGATAATCAGACATTCAGCTCTGTAACGCGGCAAAACCCTTATAAAGACTTACTATTTACACCAAGACAGATAAGACCTGAGCACGTTTGTAAGGAAACTGTAATTAACATTAATCTTTGGAACTTGAATGTATTCACAATGAGGATTTTATAAACTTGTCAGCTCGAAGGCTGAGGAAATCTTCATGGGCGGTGTGTCATGAAACATCCCTCCCATGAAAAGTACCATTTAGGTGCTCGTTTGATAGAAGCTGCCTCTAAATCCTACAAAGATATACAGAGAAATGATTGCTACAGCACCCTGGGATCACAAACAACAATTTAAACACYAAGAACTACTTAACTGGTTCAGAATTAATTCAAAAATGTTTGATATTATTATTTAGGTTCACTCTGACCATCAATAAATGTAGGAATGTTGCCAAGAAAAAAATAAGTTCCCAAATTATATTAACACATTTTTTTTGGATTCAGCTAAGAATGACAAAAATAAAATAAAATAAAAAAATAGAACCGATTTTGCTTAAATTGGTTGAGAAATATTATTATGACAATTTTAGAGGAATAACTTCTGCCGTGACCTGACTCTGATCAGATCACCCTGATTTCTGAGCTTCAAAAACCAGTGTGGTCAACAGATTGTCTGGGAAGTTGCTCAGAATGTGGAAAAGAGTGTCTAAAATTTTAAAACTCAACTTTTAATGAATCCTATGATGATAGGATTTATTAAAAGTTAAGTCTCTGTGATCCCGCCGCTCCTGTCTAGTTACACAGTCATGATGTTGGCTGCTTAAATTATTCTAATTTTGTTTGCAAATTATTGTGAGTGAAAACTTTAATAGAACTCGTTCTGAGATTCCCGTTACATTAATGGAAGACGTCGCCTTTGAAAACGTTCGAAGAAACATTTAATGCTACGTAATGTGCAGAGTGCTCAAAACCTTACTAAACAATGAATGAACATATGCATTTTCCAGAGCCTGAGTGGAAACACATAGAAACCCATTAGGTGGTCAACACAAACTGGTTTAATCGGTTAGCAGTGTTTATT